AACCCCGGCTAAAAGCTGAGGCACGGTTTTTGTCATGAGTTGAAACATTTTGGAGAGCTTTCAAAATATTTACTTGCTCTGGATTTCAGCTGAGCCCAGATGAGGCTTCTTTCCCTCCTTTGCAGCCTCTTGGACTTCCAGCCCATTTTAGTGTGTTTGCCAGACTTTTAGGAGAGCTGGGCTAAACCTTTGAACCTCTTGAGGTTCCTCATTGCAACCAACTTCTAAGAAAGTTTCACCAAATAAAGCTGAAGGAGTGAGGAGAGCAGCAGAAATCATGTCAGCATTTCCAGTGTGAAACCCCCTCCTGTCTGAGGTTTATGAAAAACAAAAAAAAACCCAAAAGATCACTCCAGGCTGAAATTTGGCAAAGTGGATCTCAGCCCTCCAACTGGGACATTTGGAGTTTTTTGTATTGTGGCATTTGTGGGGTTTTGCATTTATTTTTTGCTCAATGACTTCAGGAAATGGATTTGCTTTGGGGGCATTTTCTGTTCTGCCACCCCCTCCTTGGCAAGCCCTGCCTGGGGTCTGAGAGGGAGGTGAGCTCCTCCTCCTGCATCGCTCACAGCCTGAAAGGTTCGGAGCCAAACCTCAGCTGATGATTTTCCTGATTATAATGAGACCAAATTCAGCTTCCCTGCCCATCCATAGTTGAGTGTCCATTGCTGGAATCGCGTTCAAAGTCAGTCTGCAAATCCATATAAAGTGTGATTTAGGGCAGGGGATGCATGCATGAGGCACTGCTTTATGGCATTGTTTGGGAATATTCTGCCCTCTGCACCCCTGCTTTTCTGTGTCACTGAATTGCTGCTTTCCACTGTTTGAAAGGAATGGGATATTCCAACCAAGTTCCCAAAAACCAGCTCTGGGTTGGGATTCTCACCTCGTTCTTGGGGAAATTCAATGAGAAATGTGGGGAGGGGAAGCAGCTTTGTGGATTTTTCTCTCACCTGAAGCCAGTGAAGGGAGCAGGCAATAAAGCCATTGAAGAGTGAAATCTTCCCAGCCAGACTAAAGCTCAGTCCTGGTGTCTGCTGAGGTCGGTGGCGTGGGCAGGTGGGAGCTCCAGAGCTGGAGAGCCTGAGAAGAGCTGCTCCACTGGAATTCTGTCTCTTTTTGGAAAGAAATATTCCCTGGATGTGAATGGCAGCATTTCTGTGGTAGGACAGCAGCTGGAGTCACATTTCCTGCAGAAATCACAGAGTTACAGGGAGAGAAAACACAATTTTTTAATTACACTGGAGCTTTAGAATGAGGCAGGGCTGGGCTGGGCCAGAGATTCCCTTTTGTCCCCAGAAGGGTGAAATCATTTCTGGGATTCTGAAACAGCAGGAGGCCTAAAAGGGGTCCCAGACAAAAGGCACTGGGGCCCCATGAGGTGATTTAGGAGCACATGTTCAACAGGAGCCTCCTGACATCGATAACGTATCGCAACATTGTCATTAGATTAGAGATTCGCCCTAATTGCGTAATTAGGTATGATTGTGCTAATTGGGTAAAGACATAATTGAGAAAAAGCACCAGAAAACAAACAGGGAGCTCAGGGGAAGTGTCACAAGGGCTGTGCCTGCCTCTGCTCTGCCCCTCCCCAGACCAGACATGGGGAGGGGACACGAAGGGACACAAATAATGGCACAAAATGGCACAAATACAGCACAAATATAGCACAAATAAGGGCACTAATAATGGTACAAAAATGGCACAAATATGGCACAAATAATGGCACAAATAATGCACAAATATGGCACAAATAATGGCACAAATAATGTACAAATAATGGCACAAAATGGCACAAATATGGCACAAATATAGCACAAATAAGGGTACTAATAATGGCACAAAAATGGCACAAATAATGGCACAAATAATGGCACAAATATGGCACAAATAACGGCACAAATATGGCGCAAATAATAGCACTAATAATGAAACAAAATGGCACAAGTAATGGCTGAAATATGGCACAAATATGGCACAAAAATGGCACAAATAATGAAACAAAAAATGGCACAATTAATGACTGAAATATGGCACAAAAATGGCACCAAATTGGCACAAATAATGGAACAAATAATGTTGCAAATGTGGCACAAATATGGCACAGGTAATTGCACAAATATGGCAAAATACGGCACAAATAATGCCACAAATATGGCACAAATACGGCAGAAATAATGACAAATAGTAGCACAAATAACGGCACAAATATGACACAAATAACGGCACAAAAATGGCAATGCGACTGCTCCTGTCCTGACACCTGATCTCAATTCCCAACTCTCCGGCAGAAATAATGACAAATAGTAGCACAAATAACGGCACAAATATGACACAAATAACGGCACAAAAATGGCACAAATAACGGCACAAATATGACACAAATAACGGCACAAAAATGGCACAAATAACGGCACAAAAACGGCAATGCGACTGCTCCTGTCCTGATACCTGATCTCAATTCCCAACTCCGTGCTTCCTGCCTTTATCACCAGCAGATTTTCTAAGTGACAGCACGACTGGAATGCCTGGCCCTTCTTTCCTGCTGGAAATTGCAGTTTCTCTGGGATGCAAATGCACTTTGAGCTGTCCAAGCTTTGAGGGACCACAACACCTGTAGTTTTTTATGATGGAGCCATAAATGGGGGGAATTTTCCAGGATAATTTGTGCAGTGGGATGGGGAGGTGTCCAAAAGTTGATCCCAGAGGGTGAGTTAGGTGTCAAAGCCTGGGACAGAAATTTTTCTGGTGTTTGGAAAGTTCCTGAAGTGTCTGTGTAGATGGAAGAGCAGCAAGGAGATGTAGGGAGTCATTAGCACTGCCAAATATGAGAAAAATTAGGTTATTTTGGCCTGAATCTAAAATAAGGAATTTATTATTGTAATTTATCCATGAAAATACCTTGGCTGAGTATAGAAATGAAATAAAACTCTCTACCCCTCTCTACCTTCCATTTTAGAGCAAATTATTGGAGAGTTTTTGGGTTTTTTGCTCAGCTCTGCTTTTAAATACCTGGTGTGCAAGGGGTGCCTGTGTTAGTGTTAACAGCACCTTCTCATTAAACTGATCAGATATTGGCAGTAATTGATAAATTTTCAGTTGTGAAATGTTGGCTATTACAAGATTGAGATGCAGAAGAATTCTTGCAGGAATAAGTTGTAGAAAATGGGTGGTTTAGCTGAAATGGTTTAGGTTATAAAATGTGAAACAGGTTGTTTTTGGAAGTCTGAGGGGGAATTTGTCTCCTCTGTGACCCAGAGATTGGGGAGGATTTGGGATTTTCCATCAGCACACAGGTTCACTCCTTCCCACAGAACAACTTGAGTTAAATAATTGGATTTCATGTTGGACAAAAGCTGTTCAGTGCACAGAAATAAATGATGGTGTTGCATCGAGGAGCTGGGTCCAGGATGTTTTCTGGACAAGGACAAATCTCCTGGTTGGAGTTCAGGGCCAGCAATCCGTGGTTTCCTTATCCAGAGCTGTGCTCTGGTCACTGCTCCAACTGATCAAACAGTTAACAGTGCCTGTGCTCTCTGCTGCTGACTCAAATATGCTGCATTTCCACTCTTTGGTCAAAGTAAACTTTACTAAATATGGAATCCTGAGAAATTGGGATACCATCAACATCGTGGGCACTCAGACATCACAGAAAGATTATTTTGCGTTTTTTCCATCGTGTTCTCCTGCTGTTGCAGGCTGAGTTCTGAGCACCTTCCTCCTTTATTTCCTGCCAGGCTTGGGGTGCAAAGGCAGGGCAGGGCCTTTTCCATCACCAGAAACTCTGCTTTATCCTGGGAATTCAGCAGAGCTCAGTCTTCATCCCTGAGGTTTGATTCCCTTGGAATCCCCTTCCTGTGCCAGGGGCTGGATTCACCTGAGGGGCAGCTCCAGCCCCACCAGCTCATTTGGGGATGATAATAATAATTAATACCAATAATATCAACAATAATGATAATGATAATGATAATGATAATGATAATGATAATGATAATGATAATAATAATAATAATAATAATAATAATAATAATAAAAAACAGGCAGCCTGCTGTTTTAAGCGCTACCTTGGTGGGTGCTGGGTGAGTCACAAGGATAACATCCTGCTGGTTTGGCTGGGAATTCATTTTACAAATTAAAAATGTGTTAATTGTGAAGGGAAGGTGGCTGGCTGCTGAGGGAGGCTCCGTGGGGTTTTCCAGAATGGGTCATTTGGACCTTTGGGTACAAATCACCTCAGGATTTGCACCCCTTCTGCAGTTCTCTGCCCACCCCATTCCTGCACATCCTTCAAACATCCAGGAGCCAAGGTCGAGGTCAGCGTGGTGTGTTCAGAAAGGAGAAGACAAATTTTGGCAGGACAAATTTCACCCTAAGCCTTCTTTAAATGCTTTTAAAGTAATAAATATGTCTCTGTATGTTCTGAATCTGCTGTGGAAAGGGAACACCGTTATTTTGGCCAGGGAAAAAATTCCATCTCGTGTGAAAACCTCCGTGATCTTATCCAAATCCAGCAGGAATAACCCTGGCTTGTCATGTCTTATCACATTTCCACTGTGGGGAGCTGAATTTGGGGTTGGTGTCTTTCCCCCAGCAGTTTATTCCCTCTAAATTAAACCACTGAGGATTTGGAGGCCTTTTTTTATTTTTTTTTCGTGTAAGTAGAAGCCCCTGAGGTTATGAATTTTTGACTGCATGCATCCAGGTTGAGGTAGTAGGTTGTATAGTTTAGAATTACACCAAGGGAGATAACTGTACAACCTCCTAGCTTTCCTTGGGTCTTGCACACACCGGCGTGAGGAGCGACCAAAAATCCTCAGCACTCTTTGCTCTGGACACCTGGAACAGGAAAGAGCAGGTAAGACAAGCTGGAAAACCTTTTTAAATCCTTCTGCCTCTCTAGGATTACCAAAATGTTGATTTTATAAGCGATTTTTTCTACTTGTTGGTGCTGTTTTATTGAGTTTGTAGCAAATCCAGTGATGTTTGTCTTCCTTCATTAGCCCTCGAGCAGCGTGGTGTTAACATTCCCAAAAAGCACCATGGGAATCTCAGTGCTCTTGCCTTCGTGGTCAGCAAGCAGAAGTCTCCAAAGGTAAAAATATCCTGTATTTTTTCCCCCTTTCCATTAGTCTTTGATTGGCTCAGTTAATTCTATGCTGGGGTTAAACGAGGCTGGTGATTCCAGAAAAAGCCTTGGAGGTTTTATCTAGATATTTATTCTAGATAAAGCCTTGGAGGTTTTATCCAGATATTTATTCCAGATAAAGCCTTGGAGGCTTTATCCAGATATTTATTCCAGATAAAGCCTTGGAGGCTTTATCCAGATATTTATTCCAGATAAAGCCTTGCAGGGTTTTGGTGAAAGTACCTAAATCTGCAGAGCCCTCAGGAGAGCTGTTCCTTGGGAATACACTCAGCTGAAAAGGGGATTTTTAGGGGTTTTTGTGCATTAAAGTTGGTTGTTTCAAAGCAGAGGTTTGCTTCTCCCTCCCAGCAGTTTGGGTGAAGGAGATGGGGAACACCCCAAATGTTGTGGAGAAGCTGTGGGACCTGAACTCCCAAATTTCTGGTGTGTTTTACAGGGAATTTGGAACACCCAATTTACCCAGCTGCTCCTGAAATCCGTGGTTTTATTTGCCTGAATATTGGAGACCTGAAAAACCCTTGAAACTCTCCTAAAGTTGGAAGAGAAAAGTGAACATTTTGATGTTGGCAGCACTCAGGGTTCAGGTCCTCTGGGGGCCTGGGTGAAGGTGGTGGCCACAACCCTTGGTCAGGGCCCAGGACCTGAACTTAAATCTTTTCACTCTCTAGATGAGTAATTCTGGCAAGGTTTTCTGAGTTCCCAGAATTAAGAGGCTCTGTCTCTTCCTAAACTTGTTCAGTTGGTGAAGAAAAATAAAGAGCAGGCACTGGGTTAATTTCATTAGGTTAATCTGAAAGTGTGAACACAGTAATGATATTTCAAGGTATCTAAATAACCCAGAAAATTGGTTTTTTTCTGGTAAATTGGCCCTTAAAAACTGGAATATCTGCAAATCCCTGTTTGCTGAATGCAAAGAGAAGCTGTGAGGGTTACTCAAGGCTCACTTATGAGTTATTCCAAGAGTGGATTAATGGGATTTGATCCCATTTTGCTTTCAAAGAGGTTACAGGTATCGCTGCCGTGGTTTATAGCTCTGCAGCTCCTCAGGACAAGGAAAGGATCCGGGCTAACACAAGGCTGCTCTGTGTTTCAGGAAGGCACATGCCCCAGACACATGCAGGTAGTTAAAAAATGAGGAATCTTCCTGGCACGTTCCAGGCACTACCTTATTTCCCCCCCATAAATCTTTCTGCAGATGGAAGTGCAAATTTTCAGCTGCATTGATTCCCATCCAACACAGAGGGGTTTTTTTATCCCGAGGGTTGGGTTTTTTAACCTGTTTGGGACTTCTGTAGGGGCAGCTTTGGGAATGATCCCAAATAAGAACAGGCTCTTCACTTTTTTTGTGTGTGTTTTTTAAGCTGTTTAGGACTTCTTTAGGAGCAGCTTTGTGAAGAATCCCAAATAAGAACAGGCTCTTCTTTTTTGGTTTTTTTTTTTTTTTGGTGATTCTTTAACCTGTTTGGGACTTCTTTAGGAGCAGCTTTATGAATAATCCCAAGTAGGAACAGGCTCTTCTTTTTTTGTTTTTGGGGTTTTTTTTTGTGATTCTTTAACCTGTTTGGGATTTCTTTAGGAGTAACTTTGTGAATAATCCCAAATAAAGACACGCTCTGCTTTTTTTTGGTTTTTTAACCCATTTGGGACTTCTTTAGGAGCAGCTTTGTGAAGAATTCCAAATAAGAACAGGCTCCTCATTTTTTTTTTTGGTGGTAACATTTCAGATTTGCTCCGCACTCTGCAAACTTCAGGAGGTTCAAAAACGATGGCTATTTATAATAACCCTGTCAAACACAACTTGATGTTAACGCTGTGAGCTGTAAATGAAAAGACCCATCCTGCTCCAAAACCCGAGGAATCATAATTAAAAAGGAGAATGGTCAGTGGTGAGCATAATTCAATGTGCATATTTTCCCTCTGAACAAAACAGCATTCCAGCTCTCCCCCTGATGAGAGGAATGTATTGTCAATTAATTAGACTCCCATCATATGTCCTCGGATGCCCTTCCATCATATGCCTTCCATATGTCCCCGTGTCATATGCCTTCCATATGCCCTCTGTGTAATTAAGCTCCCATCATATGGCTTCCATCATGTGCCATTTAAGAAGATTTCCAGGAGAACGTGGCACTGTTACAGTCATGGACCTTTAGCAGCGAGGAAAGGAACAACTCAGGAGCTGCAAATGAGGAGAGGAGGAAGCAGAAAAGGAAGGTGGCTCGCCCTGAGAGCTGCCTTTAGTTGCTGGTTTTGTTTAGCTCCGTTTGAGCGGTGGAGGCACAAAAGTGTCCTGTTTTCCTTGGGTTCCAGTCCCAGTTTTTATTCAGTTCAGCCCCTGGATAGCCAGGGAGATAGGGAGTGTTTTTCAGGGAATGTTCCCGCTGGAATGTGAAATGCAAAAGAAACAATTCACCTCCCAGAAAAGTGTTTGTCCTGCGATAGGGAAATGGAAATTTGTCCTTGTTTTGGGTCCCTGAACGTGGAGGAGCAGAAATAGCCTGGGAGGGAATTCCTGGAGAGGAGGTGGCACACTCCACTTCCATCCCTGCTCTCCCTCATGGACCACGGGTGTGGAGGGCACTGAACTTCCCTTGCCGTGAGAGGGCTTGGGGGAAATGCCCAAGGAAATCTGAGGTGGATTCCAAATTTACTGGGATTTATTAGGGATAAAGACCAAAATAGGCACTGATGCTTGCATGTGTAATCAAGGAAAGTGCAAACATCCAAGGAATTATGGAATGGTTTCCAATGCAAGGACAGCTCTTGTGTCTCGTGTACAATTGTGTCCCTGTAAATGAGGAGAAGGAATTAATGAATTCCTTCTTCCCAACAGCTTCTGAGACTCTTTTCTGATCCCAAACCTGCTCTAAACCTGACAGAAGAGCACTGACTTCCAAGGGTGCTCTGCTCCAGCTTTGCAGGAATTGCAGAAATCCCATCCATGCATCCCAAAATCCCATCCATGCATCCCAAAATCCCATCCATGCACTCCAAAATCCCAATCACACACCCCAAAATCCCAACCACACCCCCCAAAATCCCAGCCATGCATCCAGCCATGCAGGAACAAGGTTGAAAGGACACAGAGAAGGTAAAACATCCATTTGTGCTGAGATCTCCCAGTTAAAAAAATACAGAGTATTTTGTATTATATCCCAGTTTACCTGGACTGGATGGCAACAGTTCAAACTGCCACAGGCTGGGATCCAGTGCGTCCCTAAAAACTTTGTATTCCAGCTGCTGGAGCATGGCAAAACCCAATATTTGGACGTGCTCTGGCTAGATTGAGTCAGTATTGACCCCAAACCCACCCTGCATTTGCTGTGTGGGCATTCTGCACTGTTTGTAACACAGGTTCATTCCTGAGAGACAGGTGACAGCTCTTGCTCTGGCTTAATCTTTAATTTTCAACTCAACCCTCATTTAAATCACACACAGCAAATCCAACCAGCCCATCTGAAAGCTTTAGGTCATTAGGGAAATGATTTGGGAAATATTTTGTGGTCTTGCACCATCATTAGTTTGCCACAGCTGTAAAGTGCATATTAAGGGAAGCTTTTAAGGCTCTTGTAGAGCACCACTGAAATTATCTGCCCAGAATTGCTTCTCAAGTGTTGCATTCTGAAATATTTTATTCTTCTGGCTTGTTGGGCAGCAGGAAAATCCTCACAGTAGTGCTCATCTTTTGCTTCTCTGTTCTCACATGCTCTGCTGCTTGTGGAAAATGAAACTTTCGTCATTTGAGGGATTTTTTTCCTTCATTTTTTAAATTTTTTTAACCAGTGAGTTCCATCCACTTCTACACCCAGCTGAAACTCTGCTGCCACCCTCCTCAATCAGATGCATTAAGCAGAGTGAAATTTGTGCCCAGAAGTTCTGTGAGGCCTGGGATGAGCTGGAGTGCAGTGCCAGAATGACTCATTGTGCCATGAATAAGGCCCTGAGTGTTCTGTCGGTGCCATTTGAAATCTCTGTCATATCTGCAGAATTCCTGCCATAACTGGAATTCCAAGCACAGCAGCCTTGGGAGATAAATGATGATGATGATGGTGGGGTTCTGCATGATTTCATCTGGATTCTCTGTCTGAAAGATGATCAGGCAGTTAAAAATAAGATAATTTCATTCCCCAGACTCAGAGCTGCTCCTCACGCCTTTGGGAATGCCAGGAGAGGGAAGTTCTCTCTCTGTGTACGTGCATTTAAAAGTATACAATTTTATATAAAATTACAAAAAAATTAAAATATTTAAAGAAATAAATGAAATTAAAATAGTAAATTATAGTTAAGAAATAAATTATAGCTCAGTAATGTTGCTTCTCACATCTTTGGGAATGCCAGGAGAGGGAAGTTCTCTCTCTGTGTTCGTGTGTTGGAGTTTATAGAATTTTATTTTAAAATAGAAATAAATAAATAACTTAATAATTTAATTTATTTAATAATAAATAAAATAATTTTTATTTAAAATATAAAAAGATTAAAATAATAAATAAATTATAGTTCAGAAATAAATTATACTTCAGAAATGCTGCTCCTCACGTCTTTGGGAATGCCAGTAGAGAGAAGTACCTGTGTTGGAGTGTACAGAATTTTATATAAAATTATAAATAAATTAAAATATTTAAATAAATTAATAAAATTAAAACAATAAATAAAAATAAATAAATTACAGCTCAGAAATGCTGCTCTTGACATCTTTGGGAATGCCAGGAGAGGGAAGTTCTCTCTCTTTGTATGTGTGTTTAAAAGTATAGAATTTTATATCAAATTATAAATAAAATTAAAACATTTAAATAAAGAAATTAAAATAATAAATAATTTCATTTAAATATTTAAATGAATAAAATAATTTCTATAAATTTTTAATCTGTAAGGGACACAGATGTCCTTTCAGGGAGGTGGGGACACTGCTTGCAATTCCCAGTGAAGGGATGAGCTGGTGTGGAGCAGCTCAGAATTTGGAACTGAGCAGTCTGAGGCAGAGATGGGAGTGCACATCTCTCTCTTTGAACCAACTTTTTCCTTCTCATTCTCACTTTTTCCTCTTCATAGCTCAAGGATTTAGGTGTGACACCAAGTTCAGCATTTCTGGTGGGAGTTTTTGGGGTGAGTTCTGTGTCCACTCAGGCTTCAGGCAGGGACAAACTCAAAATTGAGGTATTGGACTAGCAGGGTTTCAGCAAACTGGAACAGAGAAAAAATCCCACGTCTGGAAATTCCTCATAGCAGAGAAAATCCAAAATATTTGGGAATGCATCCCCCCTTCATTTTAATTTGCTTTTTAAATAAGACAAAACTCCTGCTTGCCCTGACTCTGCTGGTGCTCCAGGCAGTCCCACTTGCATATATTTAGATTTATACATTCAAAATGTAAAATGTATTCTCCCTGAGCACAGAATCTGTGCATGCTATGGGGTGAAATTAGCCTCTTTGTGCAATGTCATGGCCCTGTTTCATGGGGAAATAAGTTCAAGAATCAGGTTTCTGGGGCAGACATGGAAAGAAATTGAAATTCTTCCTTCTGTCTTATCAGCAGTGGCTCCTCCCTCCCATCACCTCCACTCCAGACCCTTTTTAAGAATCATTGAATTCTCGATTCTTGAACCAGACCTTGCTGCTTGTTTTTCTTATATCCAGTAGATTTGTAACTCAAGCCATGAATTTTAGTTTTTATGAACATTTTAGGCCTCATCCCTCTTATAAAATGGGAGTGGATAAACCCCTGCTTGACACCAAAGGGAAATTTTTGGGTCCAAAGGCACTAAGATGGCCCAGGAGCTGTTCCACCAAATCTGAGAGGAAAAAAAGCAGCTAAAAAGGTGCCAGCAAAAAGCAGAGATAAATCTGAAATGGAGGCACTGAACCATGCCCATCAGAAAGGAAAAAAACAAATGGGTATTATGAGAAAAAGAAAGGATCAGGAGGGAGACTGGGAATCTCTCAGTTTGAGAAAGTGAGTGCAAGGAGTAAAATCAAACAGTGACACAAATTCAAACTGTTTTATAAAGCCATTCTTTTTCCACCAGTATTTAATTAAAAAAAAAAAAAAAAGGAACCTAATTGCTTTTAGAAGTAAATAGGAGTAAAATCAAACAGTGACACAAATTCAAACTGTTTTATAAAGCCATTCTTTTTCCACCAGTATTTAATTAAAAAAAAAGGAACCTAACTGCTTTTAGAAGTAAAGGGGAAGTTTGCAAGTCTAGAACAGATGAGATACTTGTGTTTTTAATAACCACACACAGAATTTTGGGTGTTCATTGTAATAACTTTGGAACTGAGCTCAGACTCTGTAAGGTTTGGGATGAAGAGCAGCAACTCAGGAGGAGGGAAAATCCAGTGGGAAGGGCAGATTTGGGCTGTCCAAAGCTGCTACTTCTGGTCACTGCTGGGGGAAAATGTTGGGGAAGTCTGGAGCATGGCCCAGTCCATGGATGGCTCCTCCAAAGGTTTGAGCACAGAATTTCTTACTGGGAAATAAAAATGAAGGGAGAAATGGATGTGGATGGCTCTTCCAAAGGATTGAGTGTAAAATCAAACAGTGACACAAATTCAAACTGTTTTATAAAGCCATTCTTTTTCCACCAGTATTTAATTAAAAAAAAAGGAACCTAACTGCTTTTAGAAGTAAAGGGGAAGTTTGCAAGTCTAGAACAGATGAGATACTTGTGTTTTTAATAACCACACACAGAATTTTGGGTGTTCATTGTAATAACTTTGGAACTGAGCTCAGACTCTGTAAGGTTTGGGATGAAGAGCAGCAACTCAGGAGGAGGGAAAATCCAGTGGGAAGGGCAGATTTGGGCTGTCCAAAGCTGCTACTTCTGGTCACTGCTGGGGGAAAATGTTGGGGAAGTCTGGAGCATGGCCCAGTCCATGGAT